TAATTAGTTGAGGATGTTCAATCAGAGAACTAATTATTGCTATAGTATTTACTTATATTACAGAATTGAAAATGAAAAATACATTTTTTTTAATCTCTAAAATGGAACTTAATTCTTTTTCTCAGGGCAGCTGTTTGCTAAAAACCAAATTGGTTGCTTGTCCTTTTACCATAGCAATTCTTCAGTTGGTTGACCCCCATCTTGGACCTCCCGTGGCCTGAATGACCCATTCCCATCAATGGAGAGCAACACAAGTAATGAGTCCATCTTATTTATTAACCTATTCAACTACACTATATGTCACTAAATGCAAAACTTTGTGTGCTCCATTTCATTTTTGACAACTTCCAATTTTCCTAGATTCATACTTCGTACATTCCATGGATGTTTTCAGCTGTTTCTTCTCATTTTGAGTCATGCTACATCAGCAAATTGGAGGTCCCAAAAGCTTGAATCCATCCACATAATTAAGGTTGGCTCTACTCTGAGGAGGCAGTTCTTTCCCAGCCATATTTTGAGTGTCTTCTGGCCTGAGGGGTTCACCTTCTGAAACTATATTGGACAATGTCTCAGGACTATTCATAAAGTTTTCCAGTAATATATCACAATATTTCACTATTATTCATAAGATTTTCACTAATTCTTTGAGAAGTGGATGGCCCCTTCCTTCTTCCATGTCTGTCTTAGTCTGAAACTCGGCTGAAACTTGTCCACCATGGGTGACCCTGCTGGTATTTGAAATACTGGTGGCATAGCAATACTGGTGGTCTGCATGTACATCCTTTCCATCTTCTTTTGATGCTTCCAGCCTCACAGCAACATCCAAGCCACCACAGTATGACAAACTGACAGACAATTGGTGGTCATTAGTATTAAGATGATTATATTATTTGTTTTTCATCCAGTCAAAAAACAGAAAACAACAAAAAAAATGTTTATCATAAATAAATCTTTTTCCTACTAAAGAAGAGAAACTGGGATTTTATCTGTTAGTAAGGAGTTTTCTCAATAGTTATGAGAGCTTTCTTTTTAGTTTTGCCAAGCAATGAAACAATCCTTGATGCTGATGTCAGTTTTATGTAAAGCTAGATGTTTAACATAGCCAGTTGTTGCATGGAAAATCTGTTGATTCACTAAACCATATAGATACCTATATTGCATGAACATGCACACATACACACACACACATATACACAAATATATATGTACATATATACATACATACATATCTCTAAAATGAATTACCTTGGTCTAGTCTTAACATTTGGTTTTGTGTAGTTTTCATCTTACTATTGTTAAATTTTCCTCACCATAATTTGTTTGTCACCTGAGATTTTGTAATGCATCTTTTAGGGTTTTAGGCTGCGAACCCTCTCCATGAGATTGAAAATATGACCTTGATTATATCCCTCCTAAATTTAGAGACCACTTAAAGAATGGATTTGATGCATTGAACACCAGTGACCAAAAACCAGAGGAATTGTGAGATAACATCAAGAACATCATCCATGAAGAAAACAAAAAGTCACTAAAAAGACAGGAAAGAAGCAAAGACCAAAATGGATGCCAAAAGAGACATTGAAACTTGCCTTTGAATGAAGAGTAGCTAAAGCAAATGGAAGAATCGATAAGATAAAAGAGCTAAATAGAAGATTTCAAAAAACAAAGAAGATAAAGAGAAAGTCAACTAATGTAATGAAATGTGCAAAAACCTGGAGTTAGATAACTAAAAGGGAAGAATATGCTCAGCATTTCTCAAGCTGAAAGAACTGAGGAAAAATATCCAAGCCTCGAGTGGTAATATTGAAAGATTCTATGGGAAAAATATTGTATGATTCAGGAAGCATCAAAAGAAGATGGAAGGGATGTACAAGCAGACCACTCAACCCAGGCTGACACTCCCACATGTTCTATGGAAATACATCCCTTGGAGGCACCAGAGGGGCAACCTTCACATGAAGGTAATGCAGGACAAACAGGAGGGCATCACTATGAAGAGCACAGGGGGAGGGTTACTGGGCAGGGAGGGGAGGAGACTGGGTTAGGGTTGGACATGGTAAATGGGGAATGAAACTAAATGTACACATACGTTGCACGTAAAACAAATTCTTAAAATAAATAATAATAATAAATAAATACATACATAGACTAGAAGATTTAAAAAAAAAAAAAAAAGCGGAGTCACTGTACCAAAAAGAATTGGTCAATGTTCATCCATTTCAGGAGGTGGCGTATAATCAAGAACCAATGGTATTGAAGGAAGAAGTCGAAGCTGCACTGAAGGAATTGGCAAAGAACAAGGCTCCAGGAATTGATGGAATACCCATTGAGATGTTTCAACAAATAGATACCATGCTGGAGGCACTCACTTGTCTATGCCAAGAAATGTGGAAGACAGCTACCTGTCCAACTGACTAGAAGACTCATATTTATACCCATTGTAAAGAAAAGTGATCCTACAGAATGTGGAAATTATAGAACAAGATCTTTAATATCACATACAAGTAAAATCTTATTGGAGACAATTCAAATATGATTGCAGTGATATATTAACAGAGAACTTCCAGAAATGCAAGCTGGATTCAGAAAAAGATGTAGAATAACATATTGTTGCTGATGTCAGATGAATCTTGGCTGAAAGCAAAGAATACCAGAAAGATGTTTTCTTGTGTTTTATCGACTATGCCAAGACATTCAATTGTGTGGATCATAACAAATAATGGATAAACTTGAGAAGAATGGGAATTCCAGAACACTTAATTGTGCTCAAGATTAACCTGTTCATAGACCAGGAGGCTATTCTTCAAACAGAAGTTTGGTTTAAACTTGCATGGTTTAAAATAAGGAAAGAAGTATGTCAGGGTTGTATCCTTTCACCATACTTATTAAATCTGCATGCTGAGCAAATAATTCAAGAAGCTGGACTATATGAGAAAGAGGATGGCATCAGGATTGGAGGAAGACTCATTAACAACCTGTGATATGCAGATGAGAGAACTTTGCTTGCTGAAAGTGAGGATGACTGGAAGCCCTTACTGTTGAAGATTAAAGACTACAGCCTGCAGTATGGATTACACCTCAACATAAAGAATTGAAAATGCTCACAACTGGGCCAATAAGCAGCTTCATGATAAATGGAGAAAAGATTGAAATTGTCAAAGTTCCACAATCAACACCAGTGGGAGCAGCAGTCAAGATATCAGATGATGTATTGCATTGGGAAAATCTGCTGCAAAAGACCTGTTTCAACTTCTGAAGAGCAAACATGTCTCTTTGAAGGCTGAGGTGCACCTAACCCAAGCCATGCTATTTTCATTTGCCTCATATGCATGTGATAGCTGGACTGTTAATAAGGAAGACTGAAGAAGAGTTGATGCTTTTGTGTTGTGGTGTTGGTGAAGAATACTGAAAGTACTATGGACTGCCAAAAGAACTAACAAATCCGTCTTGGAAGAAATGCAGCTGGAATGCTCCTTGGAGGCGAGAATGGCCAGACTTCATTTGACTTATTTTGGTCATGTTTTCCAAAAAGACCATTCCCTGGAGAAGGATATCATGCTTGGTAAAATGGAGGGTCAGCAAAAAAGGGGAAGGCCCTCAATATGATGGATTCACACAGTGGCTGTGATGATGGGCTCAGGTATAGCAAGTATTGTGAGGCTGGCACAGTACCAGGCAGTGTTTTGTTCTGTTGTAAATAGGGCCACTATGAGTTGGAGCCAACTCGATGGTACCTAACAACAACAACACCCCTACTCCTGACCCAGAAAGGTGTTAGGGCCAAACATTGACAAAGTCAGAAACTTTATTACAGAACTAAAAGAGAATCAATTTATAAATTACCCTGGTGATGAATAGTTGTACCTAGCTGCAGTCCTCAAATATGAGGGATTTTGGAAGATTTATGTCATTGTTTTCTTTATTTTTATTACTTACATATTCTAGAGAAAAACAGTTGAAACTCTCTAGGTGTACATTTGAAGTGGAAAATAATTGTCTATGCCAGAAGAAATGACTTTCACCGCTGATAACCTCCAACTCCCTTTGGGGGAAAACTTATCTCTGGGTAGGAGAGGAAGTAGCAAAGGTTGCAGTTTAATTCTTATCACATCATAATGTGTTTACTGTACATACTTGTCTCTCCCATTCCACTGTGTTGATCTTACTCAATTTTCTACTTACATGTTATCCACCCAGTGACTATTCCAGTGAGTTTTATTAAGTAAATGTCTTCATTCAGGGAAGATGAAAGTGGTATAAATCCAGAGCAATGTCAGTTTATATGGATTAATGTGTAGGAACACAAAATGAGGAAATCCTGAACCAAATATTGTCACTGTGACTTCTTTTGTTTTAGTTCAATTATCAAAACATCAGGTTCCCTTTATTCACATAAAGGTAAGAAAACATTTAAATGCCAAGTATGAATGACTGTTAGATCATGTACCATTGAAAATACCCACGTATTTGCTCTGTTCCAATAATGCAAATGATAAAAGTTACACAACAATGACTTCTAAGTTGCCCTTTTTGAAAGGTTATTTCTGCTTTTTTTAACTTCAATCTGAAAAACAGATCAAGAGTTTTACCAAGTACCATTCCGAAGTAGATCAGCTGATCAACTTTCTGAGGGTCAAGACAATTAAATCTGAGTCCTAGGTCTGCTTACAGACTGCTTATAATAATAATTTTCTTTCATATGAACTGTAATTTTTCCAGGAACTTCTAGTGACCTATTAATGTAGGTAGGGTACATAAAACATTCTACTTTTCAATGAGAAAAGTGATGTACAGAGGGTTAATGAACTAGTTAATTAATTTAGCAAATAGTTTTTCTGGACCTTTTACAGTTCATGTCCTTGCTAAGCACTAAGAATTTAGTGCTAGTGAAA